TTAGCAGTGTTGTAGAATGGAATTCGTTTCTTGTTGGATCCCGCCTCTTGGACGTCGCGTGAACGTTGCAAGAGGGCCTCGCGGCCGACCGTGCCCGCTTCGCGAGGGCCGTGGAGCAGCAGATTTGCTGAGGGGCCGTGCCGCGTGTGTACGCTCCGCGGAGAATGCGTAATGCGAGGACGAAGGCTTGTCGCACGCCAGACCGCAAGAACACCGGCACGCTTTGCATGGTGGGCACGGGCGTGCCGAACTCGGCAGCGAGGTCGGACAGCATCGAGGGTGGACCACGCAGCAGCCGGAATGCCAGCAAGGGCGGAGTGGCCTGCCCCTCCTGCGGGGCTTCGGCAGCAGGGTCCTCGTCAGTGAGGGGAGCGCGTCGTCGTGGCGCCCTGCAACGGCGACAGATTTGAAAAACAGCTGTGAGCGTTTCGACCGCCGTTTTCCGCGGTGTCGCGTGCGCTCTCCCCTGCCCCTGTGCTCCAACAACTGTGGCTGTGGCCCAGACTGTGGCCAAAGTTCGGACTGGTACGGGGACCACGCCCTCGCCTGCCCACGCACGGCCCTCCTGGCCCGCCGATCCAAGTTGTTTGGGTCAGCGTCGCGTCCCCCAACGGCTGCCCCGGTATGAGGTTGTGCGGCGTGGCGATGCTGCCAGCTATGTGGCCACTCGTTGTGGGCTAGAAAATACAAAACCAAGAGTGCCGCGTTTTCGCGCGCCTGGCAGCACGCGGCATGATCCGGACCCGCGCTGGGTGAAAGCGAGAGGTAGCCTATTGCCTAGGCTGCGGACAGCTGGCGCGGCGGTTCCAAAATCACCACATCCAACCAACCATATCAGCCAACATATTTTTTGCAAGCATTGTCAGATCTATAACACAGCTAGCGAGTTGGGCTCCCGTCATCCTCACATGCAATGGCGCCGCATCAGCAACGTACGAAAAGCAGCGATTCGTGCTGCGAGCGCGACATCGCAGCAATTTTTCCTCTACGGCTTTGACACAACACCATGCACCCAGGACCGTATAAACTGACAATCACGGCGCCGTAGCCTTATACTGATACTTGCACCCGCGTGTCGCAGACTGATAGCAAAGAAGACCCGCGCCTGGAAAACCAGTGTGCCAGCGCTCGACGGGCTGAGGACAGGGATGGTAGTTGCTCCTAACACCTATCCTTAAGGAACAAATAATGTCTGGTGCGACAACGGCAGGTCGTTAACAGCTATACTTGCATGGCCCGAGCTGGCGCTCGCGCCAATACAAGGTCACGTCCGCCCAGCTCCAACGGCAGCTCGAGATCCAGCAGTTTGAGCAGCCAAACCACCCATGCATGCTGCAGTTCACGTTGCGCAGCTGCAAGTTTCGACGCGTACAATCCTTGCGGATCCTTGCGGACATCATTCGAAGGCAACGGCAACCTGCTCGGCCCCAGCACCGCAAGCGGGTGTCAAGCCTGCCCACCTGCCCAGCGGTTTGCGGATTGAGGCGCTGCCTTGCCGTGGGACACTGGGACCGTGCGTGGAGCGACGAGCACTGCACCCACACGGTGGTGCAGGCGCGCTAATGCTAAAGAAAGAGCAGGCTGGCCGGTAAAAGGATGGCCCTGCTTTCCATGACCACGCAACGGTTTGGGCCGTGCAAGGGCTCAGGGTCCGTATACGTGTACGTGTTTTGTCTGCATGTTCCTTTTGCGATGCATGCGGAAAGCAGCTCCACGGCACTAATGGCGCCGAGGCCGTTCTGGGCATGTATACTGGCCACCCGGCTTACGCGGCATTTGCTCTGCAACTTGCCTACCGCGCGTCGCATTACCTGCGTGCTCACGACAAAAAATTGGGACGTTCGAATGGGTGCGTCCGCGTGCCCGGTGTTTGGGCCACCGACTTCGGAGATTTGGCCCCTTCACTGTCATGCGGTCTCTTGCCGTAAGCGGTGCGCCTTGCCGGACGGCAACGACCGGAAACAATGATTGGAATGCCGCACATGGACAAGCGAGGGGAGCCTCGAAAATAGTTCGTGCA